AAAAAAAAAAAAAAAAAGCAAACAAAACAAAAAAAACCCTTCAAATCTTTTCTCGACCAGTGCACCCCTCCTCGTTGGCTTCTTTGATAAAATATTCACCAGATATGCACCTTTTCCCACAACTTCAGAATTAATTTGAAATGTGATTTTTCTTTTGCTGAAGAAACAAGTCTTAACATCTATGGATATTTTCTTCATAGTATTTTCCAAATTTGGCACATTTTAAAAATTTCCTCTGCCACCTCCACCATCTCGCTCCTGAGTGAATTTAGTTCCCTTTCCACTTCTCCTACTCCATCCCACTCTAACAAGCTTGCTGGAAGGATTATCATCCTAAATATATGTAACTCAATTCAGAGTCATGAAATTAGACCTCGAGGGAACATATTCAAACATTTTATGGATACAGAAAGTAAGGCCCATGGAAATTAAGTGACTCTCACAAGGTGATAAAACAAGAGAGGCATCAAGCAACACTTGAAATCTAGATATCTTGATTCCTAGTCTATTCTCCTTTCAAGTAAATCACTCTGCCTCTCACTGCAGCAAATATCACAGGTGTGGCATAAAAGGCGTTGGTGTAAGACTGAGTTTGAATTCCAAAGCCAACACCTAGGATGTGTGTGACCTTGGACAGCTCATTTAATCTCGGTGAGATTGTCTGTATAGTGTCAACATTTCTGAGCCTCACTTTCTTTATATTCCAAAATGGGTATAGTCCTCATCTTATAGACTTTAAATATGAATTAATTTTTTTAAATATATGTGGAATTCCTCACATACAGTAGGTGCCAAACAAATGTAATTTAAATGCAGGATGGATTGGCAGACTAGGAATATATTTTATCATTGAACTGTGACTGCTGCAATAACCCCTAATTGGTCTTTTGCTCCTCTCCCAGTTCCCCTCCGCCCCACACACCCAGTGGATTTCCTCTCTTGCCACCAGAGCAATCATTCTCAACATAAATCTGGCCATGCCCTCCTAATTTCATGATTCTTTGGCTTCCCAAGTACTACAGAATGAAATCTAGATCTCTTAGTATGGTATATGGTCCTCTGTATGCTGGATTTTATAACTGTTGGACAACACTTTCCCAGTTTACGTTTCAGCAATTCTAAACCTTATAGATATCATGATAGCTCCATACTCTCTCCTCCCTCCATGTTTTTGCATATGTTGATCCTCCTATACACCTGTCATTTGTCAAGATCACCATACTATATAGCAAAGCCTTCCCTCGTGCCTCCACAGCTGTGGTTGCCGATTGCTTAGTGTTCCCATCAAGCTTAGAACAAAAACCCTTTAACCCATGTTGGTCTTCAAGTTCATCTCTACACTGTGGGTTCCTTGAAAGCATGCGACATGTCATTTTATCTGTGTCTTCTTTGCCTTCGTTTAGTGCTTGGCATACAATGGGCACACAGTAAAAAAAAAAAAACTGAGACAACAAATAGCCAAGCACTGCACTAGGTAGTACCCAAAGCCAGAAAAATAAAAAAACAAATAAACAAGAAAACAAATAGATAATATAATTCTTGCTCTCAATGAATCTATGCTCTAATAGAGCAAATAAGATACAAATAACAAGACTGTAGGACTATGATAAAGCTACTATTACTGTATCTTGAGAGCCTTGAAGAGAACCCCCACCTTGTGCTTCAGAGAGGCCAGGGGAGGCCAGTAGGAGCTTAACCATCCAGACCCCGCCCCAACCCTGCCTGTCTGAATCTGAAGCAGCTCCCACTTTATGCCAAATCAAACCCCATTCCCACAGTGTAAGCCCTTCGCAGACTGTCCAGCACACGCCTCGCTTAGGACAATTCCTCTTTAAATTTTAAAAAGACCATTGGATTAATGTATTCTGTTTCCCATAAACTTTTAGAGAATAATACAAGCATTCTTCCCCATTGCTTTATTCTGAGTTTAAAGGCCATTCTGAAGGCTGTAGGAATATAAAAATTTATGGAGTCACCCAGATTTGCAAACCAAGAGAAGTTCACCAAGAAAAAAAGAACTACTTAAAATCAAGTACTTGGGGGTCCCCCAACATACCCCAGCTCAGTGAAAGTGAGGTGCTTTGCTTAACTGCCTCGCACAAAGCTATTAGCCCACAACAGAACACAAGGTCTGTACTCGACTTGAACAATGATAGTCAGAATGTGATAGTTTCTCATAAAATTGTTGGAATCTAGAAATATACATTACAAGAATAGAATATAAGGAGTATTTCATCAAGGACGAATGGATTGTTTGAACTTTTTGTTCAGGCCCTCCTAGAAGGGGCCAAACATCACTCTTTGACCTTTGATTTTTGACTGGAAGCTCTAAATGCAGAAACAGGGAAAAGCTGTTTGTAGTGAGCAGGCACCCCAGTGGGGAGCGAGGTGGTACAGCTACAGCCTAAAGGAACCCTGCAAAATCATTTCTTGATAAAGCTGGTTAATGGCATTCTGTGAGTTTCCCCACGTCTCCGTTCATCTTTTTTTTTTTTTTTTCAAGACAAAGTCTCACTCTGTTGCCCTGGCTAGAGTGCCATGGCTTCAGCCTAGCTCACAGCAACCTCAGACTCCTGGGCTCGAGCGATCCTACTGCCTCAGCCTCCCGAGTAGCTGGGACTACAGGCATGTGTCATCATGCCCGGCTAATTTTTTCTATATATTTTTAGTTGTCCAGATCATTTCTTTCTATTTTTTTAGTAGAGACGGGGTCTCGCTCTTGCTCAGGCTGGTCTAGAACTCCTGACCTTGAGTGATCCACCCGCCTCGGCCTCCCAGAGTGCTAGGATTACAGGCGTGAGCCACTGCGCCCAGCCCCCATTCATCTTTTTTGTGGTTAATGTTTTATAACAACTTATGCCTCAATCCATTCTTTCACATTTTAATCTTAAAATTATAACATGCTATGGTAACATGTTCATTAACAGAAAAAAAGGAATATTGATATTTTGGCTTTTCATCCTCTACCGGGGTTACAGCACATTGTGAATGATGTCTCAAAGCATCTCTTCCTAAATGCATGTGAATTACTTTCACAGAAGGACGTGTCTTTTGTTGTTGCTGTTTCCTTATGTGCTTGATTTTTTTAATTGAAAATGACTCGAGAAATAAAGAAAAATAGTGAATAGAAAATTACTTCTGTTTAACTATCTATTTTTGTTTCTAATCTAAGTTGCTTGAGGGAAAAGCCATTATTTCTTTCATATATTTTTATATGGTACCTAGAGCATTATAGGTCCTCAAGTGTTATTTTATTATAAGATGTTTACAAAGATAAAACTAGACCTCCTCTTGCCTAATAAGTAAAATCCCAGGGAAATAAAATTAGGTTCATTATTTTAATTTCTATTTATAAATGTTTTTACAAAATGAGTTAAATATCTATTGAAACACTAAGTTCTGCGTTGATATTGGGAAAAAATGATTTAGGAAATTTATTGTCATTCACTTGCAAACCACTCCAGTTTCATGGGTCTTATATTTCAAAGAAGGAAGTTACCTGCTATAAATAACACAACCATGTGCTCACTGATACATTCATGGAACATTTACAAAGAGAAAAAAAACCTATTATATAAATATGTGACATAATGCATGACTTTGGTGGTTGTCCCTTCAAACTAGGAACACTAGCCAGCAGTCTAGTCTAAAGACTTATAGCCCTAGTCATTTAGTTCTGAGGAGATATACAACCTATGCTAACATGCATTAGATCATTCAGACCACTTGTTCACCTTGTGTATAATACAGTGGAGGTTTGGCATTTGTCCAACAAAGCCATGTTGTTATGGGATATATCTCATTTATTTGCCTAAGTCAATCAAATTAACCATAAAATTTATAACATTTCCACTTCATTCTTATTCTGCAGGGGCTTCATCTCTCCTAAAGAGATGTTATCCCCCAAAACCTCTGTATCTCTGTATCATCTCTCCTAGCATTTAGGATCTCCCCCAGCATTTGGGATCAGAATTGGTTAAAGAAAGAGAGAAAGAGAGAAAAAGAGAAAGAAAGGGAAGAGAGAAAGAAAGAAAGAAAGAAAAAGAGAGAGAGAGAAAGGAAGAATGCACTATAATACAAAAATTCTTAAACAGGATACAGAGAAACTATTGTTATCTATACAGGAAACTGCCAAATTTTAAATAATAAAACAAAATGAAACCCATCAGTTTCTTTCACTGCAACTGAGTTAAAGGGCAAAGTGATATAGCTATGAAATAAGACACAAAGACAATACAGTGGCATTAGCTTGACCTGACCACAGAGCCTCTGAATTATTGAACACTAAGCCCCCTGACAAAATATAAAAAGCACTGGGTTAACCCTATAGAAAGGTTAGATTGGAGATTCTTATGAATTATAGTCTTTTGATTTGTGGGATCTTAACTACAAACTTTTCCATTTACTACCCTGCCCTTATCAAGTTCTTTAGATCTCTGTACAAATATAGTAGTGCTCAGCAGGAGCGGCATGACTCAGAAAGAAATCTATTTACCAAGAAAGTGCAGTGACTAAGTTCTGGGAGTTCAAAACATGTGTCTTTCTAACTTGCAGTGGGGGATGGGAGGGTGGGAGGTTAATTCTTTCATCATCTTTGCTTCAGTTAAAAAAGAAAACAAAACAGGTTTGTCTTGAGCAGAAAGAACATGTTGATATTACAGGAGCTGCAGAAGTACAGCAAGGAAAAAAAAAAAAGAAATGAACCAAATCAGGTTAGGAACACAAAATCTCTTTCCACCCACCTAACCACCCCTTTTTATCCAAATTTTACATGAGCTTAAGCTCAGATCCTTATACTTAAATTTGACAAATTTATGCTGCCTACTTGAAGGCTTAACTAGTTTGCTTTTATAGCAAACAATGGATGCTATTTAGTTGCCCGCAAAAAAAATTCATTTCCATATTTATACCTGATTTCTACAAGAGTTTTCTTTTCTATTAGTTTCCAGCTACGTTTACAGAGATATCAAAACAAAAAATGATCTGAGGTCAAAGAGATAAAAGACCATTTTTCTCTTGAACCCCAAATTTCCTTTCCGTTAGAATGCTTGGTTTGTAATCATTTTATCAATCGAGTATTTTCAAATTCTCCATCAATTTACTATTTACATATTTTAAAAGTATATTTCTAAATCATTTCTTGTATCTACGTATCTGTCTATGTTTTAGAAAGTAAGCCAGATATTCTAGTGAGCACATCAATGTTTTATAAGTAAAGGAAACAGAAACTTGACCACTTTAAGAAATTAGTAAGAGTCAGTCTTTCTCCAAATAATTTTTGTAATCTCAATTGAACTCGCAGATCTTTCTCTGTTCTGCCTTGCTCATCTCCCCACCAATACATTTTGAGTTCTAAGATGAAAGTTTTCATAAAATATTTTTCAAGGAAAATATTTATTTTTGTCTGATTTATAAATGTTGTATGTGTTTTATTTTTCTCAGGCTTAAAAAATAAGTTAGCAATGATTTCAAAATTCAGACACCTACAAGACATGTTTTACTCAAGGCTTTCTTAATCATTGGAGACAATATCCAAAGATAGATATATACCCTCACCAAAGGGAATAAAAAGGCAGCCTTCAAAAAAGTGGATTTTGAATGAGTGGAAAGCATTTGATTTGATTTAGTCTTTATATGTTTTTCCTAAACCTGGACCATTTGGTTTCAAGTTAAAGTTTCATTAACT